ATCTCTTTGTTGCTTTGTATGTCCCTCCCCCACAGTATAACCCCGCTTTCACTATATTTGATGTCAGTATAACTTGTGGAGGAGATGGGGAAAAACAAGTCGTTTAAGGATTCAGGTGGACCTGTTGCAACAATGAGAAGTATAAATTGTCATATCAAAAACGAGCTTTACAATGCCGGTGGGGAGGGGGGGAGAGGAGGGAAGGATTGGGTGAGGGAGAGGGGGGGGGCCGGGAAGGGAATGAAAGGGGGAGGCAAGGAGGAGGGATCAAATATGTACTCATTATCTTGCCCATGTAATTGTAACCCCTCTGTACAGTATTTTCACAATAAAAAAAACGTCTAAACCACATTTAATGAACTCTCAAGTTTTTCTAGAGTACAGTTTTTTAAGACTAGAAAGGGAAGGAAAGAACTTAGGGTTATTTCAACCAAGTTGTCATATTCCATATATGTAATCTATGTCTATTCATGGCAATACTGACACTACAGCAAAACAATAAGGCAGAGAGGAGGAAAAGTAAAAAATAAATTACTGATTTGAGAAAGAAAGGTAAGTGCTTTCTATGTTATCTTCTGAAAAATGATGCATTAAAATCAATCTTTCCCTGGGATTTGTGTTCTATTGATAGAATAAAAACCTAACATGTTCCCTAAAATCATCTTTGGGAATGTGTAAACTATAAAAGGCAATTTTCTCATTTTTTAAAAACTACCCAACACAGTACTTATATATGTAGAATTTCATTTAAATAAGTCAGTCAACAATTTTATATAAAGTATTTAACACTTCATTGTAGAAACATAGGCAAAATGACTATTATAACCAAAATGAAAAATACTGTTCAATTTAAAAAATGTACTTAAACAAGAACCTGGAAAAGTTTATGATATGCATAACACTGCAAGCAAAATTGCACTAGTATTACATAAATCAATAGTTTATAAAGGCCTCAATATGGCAAAGTTTAGAAATAGGTAGTATGCATGCACAGAGTACAACAAAAAGTCTCCTTATAAAACAGCAGGTTTTTTTAATGCTTGTACAAAGGGATAAAGAGCAACCACAAACATATTTCATCTGTTAGGTTAATACATATTGACAGCTAAAAGTCAGTCATGTCTATCAGAGGAACAAAAAGCCCTCCAAAGATGTGAATAAATTTTTTGTGCCTTTAAAGATATTTGTATAAAAATGCTATCATTTTTTTAATACAACTTAAATAAATCTTACTTCTTTCAATCAAACTTTGGAAACAAAGTAATCAACAATAACAACAAAAGTGAATGGGGTCCATGTGTTTTGTATAAATGAAAGGAAACCCATGTACCAATGCAACTGATACAGCATTTATACTCTCCACCTTTGTTTATGGCATGTCATTTGTCTTCTACTACTTGGAAAGTTCTAGAAGAATATTTTCTGGGTAGGGAAAAATGTGAATTATTTATAATGTAAAAGATTTTCCAATTCCCATTTACCAAAATGGCAATTCATCTTTTTTGACTTCACAAACATAACATGCTCTTATAATTGAATTTCTGTCATGAACTGTGTGCTTGTACATTATCTTTTACTCAATGTGGTGAGCAATTGACCCAATCTTCCACAAATTGAATGTGACTGAGAAAAAAGTACATAGGACATGAGTACCCAATGCCACGTTTTGCTCTAAACTGGCTTTTTACCTCAAGATTGAGAAGAATAAAATGTTTTATCCAATAGCAAATGTGACCTAACTATATTTTGGTTTGTTCTACCATCTAAATACAGTTATTTCTTATAAGGTGTATATGTTTAGTGCATCCTATAGAATCCACTAAATTTTGGAAAATATATTCATCTGTGTTCATGCAAATTATTGATAAATATATAAATATATATATCAACATATATATATTTATATAGATATAAATATATATTCTTCAGAAATTTTATCCATTCCTTATCAGTCTAAGACTAATTTCACAGCTAAATTAGTGAGGGCTTCCTATTTTCAACAGAGACTCAATCAAATATTTGTGGGTAGAAAGAAGACATTTTTCCATTCAATCATTCTCCTATCCATTTAAACAGAAAAGTAAAATGACATTGTATTACAGATTTCAGAGCATATTGTGAAAAAGTGCGAAGATCTTCTCTGTTAGTTAAGTAGAACCCCAAAAGTTCATAAAAAATAGATCATTCATCTTCACACTACAAAGGAATATGTTGTTTATCAATTTAACAAATTCAAAGGTGTGTCCTACCAGCAGCATTGTTGGAAATTGTACTGTAGTGCAGTTCTTTTTCATAAAAATACCATACAAATGGTCAATCAATAATCATCAGCAATAAAATAAAATAAATCCCCTTGCCCCCCAAAAACTCAGAAAACCATTAGCCAGGAAAAAGATAAAATAAACAGGGAATGCCAATGCCAAAACAAGTATAAGATTGTTGGAACATACAAAAGTAATCCTTATATTTTATACATTTGTACAGCATATAAAAGATATCACTGATCATGCCACTGTCTCTCTTATACCAATCTCTATTTTCTTTGGAAGCAATTCTTTCCTTTCATCAACACTTCCTAAGGAGTTTCGACAGTTTTGTCCATCCATATACAACTTGGCATATACTGGGTTGGAGTAATTTGTTGGCTGAAAAAGGAAAAAAAATAAACAATTTTATTCACATTTGTGTATACTTTTTTATTTTTAGGAGGTATAACTATTAATGGACAATACAGCAGTAACAAATTCAATTTATTAAACAATATATATTGAAATGTAATTTTAATTGTTTTTATGTTTTAATTCATTTTAGTATATTATTACATAAAAACATATATTTTGTGTGACCCAAACAACAGGTTTGATATAAAATGAGAAGTCCCACAAATCTTTCTTTATTTTGTAAAATAAAGAAAGATTTATTATAAAATAAAAAGGATTTTTTATGCTCATAGATTCACTACTGTCACCAAATTGTTAAGGCAAATACATTACTTGGCAAAAATATTTTGTAATAAGTTCGTGCTTATAATTCTTACATGAAGTTAAAAGCAAAAAAAGAAAAGTGGGAATAAAGAAATATAACAGGGAAATATGCTTCAAAATATAACACTGTTCTCCATACATCTTATTTGTACTTATCATTAGAAATATTTTTGGACTTTGAGATTTGCACAGTCATCCTAACTTTCACAAACACAAAACATTTTAAAACCTAATCAAGGCATACAACAGTTGACTGTTTTTAGTTGAAAACTAATTCATTGTTTATGTTTTAACAAATTGCCAAATAGTATCATGAAAATATTGTCTAGTTTCTGACTTTATTGCTATTTGTTTTCAAACTAATTACATTAAGCTTAATCTTTGAGTCATGAAAAGGAGACAAACATAATAATGTGAATGAAAAAGCAGTTGACAGAAGAGAAAGATGAGGAAGAACACAATTCTCTCTGGGAATTCTGACATTTATATCTTATTCTTCATCTGCCAAAACAATGAGCTATGCTGCAATGAACTACAGGACAAAATACTGGCTGTTTTATCTGAATATATGAGAACGATTTCATGAGATTATCTCTAACTTCTCAATATGATGACATATGTCTAAGTAGGCTTTCTGCACTTCATTCTTAATTCAGTGAAATATAATAGAAAATTCATTAAACAACATTTAATTTTATAATATTTAGCTATAAATGTCTAGCCATAAGTTCCTCACTAAGACCAACGTGAATTCATCCTTACTCTTGAGGAGTTAAATTCTTTCTTCTAACTCTATTTAAAAGAGAGAGATCTCCTTAAGAAATTTTCTAAAATAGCATATTTTGTTTGCAATCTTGTATGGGCAGATCATATACATAGACTTCAATTTTTAGTGCTGCTTTAAAATATCTTGTCAAGTAAAAATATAATTAAGGACATGCCTGATGTCTAGGTCTAGTGGTCACTGTGGTCATGGAATGGGCATGAAATAATGAATGTCTTCTCTCACCCCAGCAGTTAGTGGTCCTTTCAAATCAGAGTTTAGGTAGATAGGCGGTGCTGTATGGGGAAGCTTGAAAGCACTGGGCCCTCCCCCTCTATACCTGGCCTGTGTACAAACAGAGAATTTTAGTTCTTCATCTAATATCATCTAACCAAATTTCACTGATTCAAATTATGTTAAATCATAAAAAATAAATAAATAACTCTTTATTGTTGATCTATGATCATTGTATTCATACTAGGTTTTATATCATGCAATGAATACTAATGTTAGATTATTGTTTCATACATAGACATTCCAATTTGCCTACTTACTGACAGACATACTATGCATGTAGCAATTTCCATTCATTTTTGTTTAACACAGGTCTCCCCCTAAGAAAACAGTATCTTCTCGAACACTCTGAGCAAAATGTATGTGGCTCTCAAAATAGGATACTGACATTGGCCAAAATATGTGCTTCTAATTGAAGATACTTTATCATTAGAAGCTTCAGTTTTTTAATTAAAGTTTTGAATATCTTGAATATTTAGAAAATCATATCAAATTTCAAATATGACAAATATCAAGACATTAGAAAAATGTCTTCCTAATCAAAATCAGTTTAATTAGTGATAAAATCAGCTATCTAGTTCATAAGCCAACACCACTTGATTTAGACATTATGAACAGATTTAAAGGTAGAATTATCCAATACAATATACTTGTATTTACAGTGTAATAATTATTATTGATAAAAGTGAGCATTTGAAATTACTGATGAATTTGCATTTTCAAAAATATTAACCATCAACTTTAAAGAAAGAATAACCATAAATTATGGGACAGGAAAATTGATTCTGAAAAATACATTTAAGAATAAAATTCACTTGGAGTTACCTCTTCATTTTTTCCATATGCATCTCATTCAGAAAATATTTTAAACCACTTTTACTATATTTACATTTATAAATTTGAATCTGGATTCAGCCATTTATGAATGAATTACCATTTTCTCAAAATGATACATTTTTGGATAACCAGTAAATATTCCTTTGTGGGTTCTTCAAAAAATGATTCAGTGGTTTCTTACATAGTCATATCATTTTTATTAACTTTTTAAAAGTGTTTCCCTCATTTAATTTATAAAATACCATTGAACTAAGTCTGCAAAATAATGAGCAGACTGTGCTACAAAGGTTTCCTTCATGCACAATGAAAATTATATTTGATAACATAGTAGCTCAATGAATATGTAAGACATTTGTTTGATCATTCATGTTGCTCTGATGAGACTTTTTGTTTTTCAGTACTCTCAGGACAGTAGTCTTTCTATCCAGAATGAGCCAAATATTATTAGGAAATAATTCATATTTGCATTTCAACTATTAGGAATCAGCTACAATCCACTTGCTAAGTGATATTCCATTTAATTTTGATTAACCACTCAGCAAATTGGTATGTAAATATTTATAAAAAGTTAAGTACTAAGTGTATCAAAAATATATTTGAAGAGCACTGATGTATAATATTATTTTCCTAGAATAACTGTGTAAAAAATTTTAAATGGTGGTAATGAGATGCTATTCTCTTTAATTGTATAAAATTGGATTAATTCTATAACTAGGAAATAATGAGGAAAAATAAGAACTTCATGAAAGAAGCTCCTCATAAGTAATAGAAAACTCAGTGCTGTTTTTTGATATCTTTCTACTTCATAAATTAATGATCAAATAAAATATGCATAGCATATATAATTTTATAGTTTCAAATAGAAAATATTGAAAGTAAGATTCATTTCTTCAAAAAATTAAATAAGGATTTTCTAATTAACATAAAATAATTCCTAACTAGGAAAAATCCATAGGTTGTTCTTTGAGCATGTAAATTTTGTCCATATAATAATGGTTGCTTGGTTTCATACAAATAAATATTTGAGAATCAGTATTAGGCTTAGAGATTCCAATTATAGATAGAAAACTACACTGAGTACAGTAGAGTCTATTTGATCTCACCAAATATGAGTATAAAATATGAGTATAAAATCATTGATAATTGACAGTTGAAGGTGCATTTTGGGCAAAACATCTATAGTGAATCAGTATAGATTAATAACAACAAATAAATAAAACATATTGCTCTATAAAATAAAATTTATATTCTTGATTTAGATTAAAAAAATAGTAAAATTCAATGAAGTGAATCTTATTTAAGTTTAATCTAGATAATTTTCATTTGTATACACATAATCAGAAGTAACAGACATTGAACAAAAAACATTGGATCTTTAGGGTCTGTGTATCAGTGATATTTTCAATTAAGATTCACAACATAAAGTAAAACATTTCTCAAGTGTTTTGATTATAAATAAATCCAAGGACAAATGTTGTTATGTCAACACATTTCCATAGTATATTGTTTTAAATAAATAATTCATTTTTATGAACCAAATGAATATGTAGGCTCACTAACATGCTTTACATGAATTCAATCCAAACTATTTTCAATTTAGAAAATACTGTTACCAAATAATGTATCCTAAAGTTCTTTACTGAACTTTTGTAAAGAAAATCTTGATACTATTCATACATTGAATTGAAGAATATTAGCATCATCTGTCCAGTATCTTAAGATAAATTACCTTTGTTGGGTCTACCATAAATCCAGGGTCTAAAAGGCCTCCATCAGTGTGATCATGGTCCACCTCATACATGTTATAAGATGGATTCCCAATTTCTACGTTTATTCCTCCATTTATAATTGGTTGTCTTCTAATTGTTTTTGTCCTAGAATATGTGAACATTGGTATTGATATAACTTGTATAAATATCACTTTCTATGGTATATAAATTTCAGACTTACAATTTACTTATCTATTTTACATAACTAATATGAAATTTTTAAATAAGGTACATTGGAAATAAATTAATGTGAAAAGAAACAAAATCTCATGCTTCAATAATTAAAGTGTTCAATGTTAGATTCATTAATAAAGAAACACTGAGAATAAAATTCTACTTAATGATAAATATTTGTGCATATGTATGTGTTAGTACTGGGACTTGAATTCGGGACTACACAATTTCACTCAGCTTTTTCACTGAAGGCTAACATTGTACAACCTAGCCATACCTCTAATCCATCATTTTGTTCATTAATTGAAGATACACTCAAATTCTTCCTGGATTAGCTTTTGAACATAATGCTTGGACCTACCTCAGCTACTAAGTTACTAGATTTACAGGCACAGGATATTGGAGCTTGGCTTCAACCATTTTCTTAATAGTTAAAAATTCTATTTCTTTTCCTTTAATCTGAAATGTATCTCTAGCCAGATTTTGTCAATGTTATTTTGAAGCAGAAATTACAGGATGACAGATGGAGGTCAACTGGGATAAACATTAATGAGATACCATCTGAATGAGCAGATAGCTTGTAGTGATGTACAATTGTCCTCTCAACTAGTGGGGAATGTTTGGCCAAAAATGGTTGGGCAGTAAATAATTGGGAGAAGCATAACTTAAATTCTTTATCACCTACCTAACACTTACGATACAGTGCGTTCTAAAACTAATGCCATCATAAAAGAGAAAAAATACTTTGATATCAGCTACCTGTGCATAGAATCCTAATCATTTATTATTCAGAAGCTTCATTAAAGCTCCCAGTTACCAGATGAAACCCCATAAAAGAGCCTGCCTTCATTCTTCAAATTACTGATATAATGATACCAGTAGTAAGATTGAATAAATGCCTGTGCTATTAGATAATGAAATGTACAGTTTATAACATATTTATATATTCAACATCACTGTATTAATATTACCAATCATGGATTAAAATAAGATAATCTTCAGAGATCCTTGTTGTTTTAAAGAAAAGATTATCAGAAATATAAAGTATACATTTTATCTGATTATAAATACAAATGAAATCTTTCCATCAACCTAATAATAGGGAATACCCATTTTATTAACTAAAAAGAAAAAAAAATACATGAGAGGTTTGGAAATATACAAAATATTAACACTAGAATAACAATGCCACATTTTAAAATCACTTTAAATATAAGTATATTTTTGCAAAACTTCTTGTGGTTTATTTACTAAATTTTAACTTGTAGCATATCACTTACCTTCTTTTCCTTTTACAGAGCACTAAGCCAATTACTAGTGTAGTTATTAAGGTCACCAAGAGGACCAGAGGCACAATGATGGCTACACTTCCTGGAAAATACATGGATGAGTAGGTGAATGAATAAGCAAAGGGAAGGAATGATACAACATAGTTCTTTATACTTTAAATCACTTCCTCACTGATGCAACAAAAATAAAGTTTGGTCCAAGTGTTGGGATTTTGAGCTTATAATCACATTACTGGAAAATTCATCAGCTTTCAAACACTTAGCGTATTGGGAATATTCCTTTAAATATTTATCACTTATATATTGCATTTATGTTCCTGGAGTTTAGAGATGTTGAATTCCATGCATTTACTCCCTCACATTTACATACAATATAGTTACCTACAATTGATAACTTGTGGATAAATCAACTGTGAGCGTGATTTTGGCAATTTCCCTGGCCTCATTCCCATCAACTGTGATATTATACTGTGAATATTTTCTAGCCATGTGACAAATTATCTGGCTGCATTGCAAAACTAAGGGAACTCAATGGTATATTTAAAACTGAATGCAAACACTGCCTGATAGCAAAATTAGTAGGAAGTTCTATCTGGTAAATTATAATAATGGCTTTTAACAGACAAATATCTAGTGTGCATGAAATTAACATTTTTCATAAACATCTATCTGATTTAGCCATGTCATCTTACTGTTTACCCTAAGAAACAAAGCAATTCAACAACAAATTAAAACTTACCTACATTGAATCAATTGTGAATAGGACACTAAGGATTATTTACATTTTTATTAGCAACAAACAGATGTAAAGGGGATTTCCTCTGATATGCCCATATATACCAACAACATATCTTTATCAAACTTAATTCCCCAGTTACTTTTCCTCATCTCTCAAGAAATATAAAAGAATGGGATTTGGGAATGTGGTTTGGTGGTAGAGTGCTTGCCTAGCATGCATGAAGCCCTGGTTTGATTCTTCAGTACCACATAAACAGAAAAAGATTGAAGTGGTGCTGTAGCTCAAGTGGAAGTGTAGAGAGGCTCAGAGAGGCTCAGGGACAGTGCCCGGACCCTGAGTTCAAGCCACAGGACTGGGAAAAAATTAAATAACTTAAAATATTTAAAATGTATTTTTTTTCTGCAAACACATCTTCATGTAAAAATACTGTGGCAGAAATTCATAGTCATTATATATAATACACAGCCACTTAAGGACTTCAATATAGAAACTTAGACTTGCTTTAATAATTCTACCTAGAAAATACCTGAATGAGACAGACAATCCATTCACTAACCAAAACACCAAAGATTCTTTAAGAAGCTTTCATATATAACTCATTTTTACTATTTGATAGTGGAAGAAATAATATGTCTAAACTAACCAGATAACCAAGGGAAACTAAGACTCATTTACTTTAGTAACTTCCCGAACTACAAAACTACTTTTTTTTTTCATGTTACTATAACTTTCACTAAGTTTGATCTGGGTGACAGTGGCCCAACACCTGAGAATGTCAGTTTGAAGCCATCCCAGAAACAATCAGTCTTTTGTCTTTAATTACCAGGAAAAATCTGGAAGTAGATGTGTGGCTCACATGGTAAAGCATCTACGCTAAGCAAAAATGAAAAGAAAATGCTCTATGTCTAGTCTTTTGAGGAACCTTTATACTGCTTTCCAGAATAGTTGAACAGCTCACATTCCCATCAGCAGTGTAATATTGTTCCTTTTTGGCCACATTAGTGAAATGGCTTGGTAATAACAATTTGAAGTTTGATATTGACATTCCTCCAACACTGTACTTCCTGCTAAGGATTTTTTTCTGTTTGCTTGTTTTGTTTTGTTTTATTTTACTAAACCTAGAGCTTCCCTATGATGCAGAAATTCCACCCCTGGGCATTTTTCCAATAGAACACACTAAAACTTCCAGTACAGACCCAAGGTATAGAATCAACACATTCAGGGGATGAATGGATCAAAAAAATGTGATACATAACAGAATTCTATGCTTCCATCAGAAACAATGATATTGTTCTATTTGTGAAGTAATGGAAAGACTTTGAAAAAATTATATTAAGCAAAGTAAAGCAGACCCAAAGATATATAGATTCCATGGTTTCACACATTTGTTGTAACTAGAATGTGCCCAGAAATCTACAAGTAAAGACACTGTATGGTAAAGACAAAAAATTACACTGGGACATGATAAATTATGCAGGACTCTATTATTTGTCTCACTCTATATAGCGAGACCAAAGGAGCGTGTTCTTAAGAATGAATCACAAAGGCACAATAGCTACGTGTATATTATCATATAAAATTATATTTATCAAAATGACTCCAAGAAATAAAAATGAGGTTTTTTTTGCTAGTTTGCTGTATTATTTTATTCCTTTGTTGTTGTTGATGCTTTTATATCTTTTTTCTTGTATGTAAGTTTATCTGTTTTGAAGAAGATAAGGTGGAGCACAGAAATGGTGGGACAAAGTACAAACAAATGCAGCAGTGATACTCACTAGACATCATTTTAAAAATGAGTCATACAAATTGTAAGGAAGAGAGGCTGGAGAGAAAAACAGGGAGAAAATGAGAGAAGAGGTGACACTGTTCAACAAGAAATGTACTCAATACCTGACTAACTGTAGCCATTCTGTACATCACCATTACCATAATAATGAAAAGAAAAAGCTCAGCAGAAGCAAGATTGTATGCTGTTTGTGTGTGTGTGTGTGTGTGTGTGTGTGTGTGTGTGTGTGTGTGTGTGTGTGTGTGATATTATTTGGGCCTTTAGATTTTCAAAAAGTGAACTTCATGTGAATATGTAATTTTATTATCTTTAATAGGTATAAAAAAGATTTCAATTCAGCATGTCAGTTTGTGAATATGTTGTCTATTGTCCATTAGTAATTAATGAAATCAGAGACTCTAACACCTTAGTTTGTAATTAACATTTTCTCACAAATTTTAAATACCAGGGAACAGCTTGGTTTCTTCATATGCTATGACTTCAATTGATTGATCATGACTTTATAAATAACTTTATCCATTATTCATTCTTTGCTGTTAAACCTTGTGTACACTGGTAGATGTAAAATGCCTACAAATACTGATTTTATGGTATGTATTTGCAATTACAAATTATTCAGAAAATTAGTTTTTACTTGTTTTGCATAGTTTTTGCTATTCCTACAAGGCTGAAAGCTATTAATTATGCATGCTAAAAAACAAAGGATTTTTTTTTTATTCCTTCCCACCACAGATGGCAGTTGCAATTCCATATATTACAGCACTCTGTGTAGGAGCCTAGACTCCTGGTATGTTTATGTAGCCAATCAAGGTAACTGCAATAACACTTAGTGCTGACAATAAATAATTCAAGGTAGCATTTTGCAAGTGATTTTTTTGTAAAAGAGTTTATATTGAGTTCATATTGGTATAAACAAATGGCCACTATGCATTTTAATAAAATTATAGGATAAAACTTATCAAAAGTAGTATGTTTCCCATCTAGTCAAATAAATAGATGCAAATACCATAACAAATAAAAAACCAAGTCTATAACAGATCATTTTTAAGCAGCAAGGGTGGTGGGAGTAAGTCAACAATTTGTATCAACTAGAGTGAATCTTTCTTTGCGTCATGGTTGTGAAGTCCAAGTATATAACACTTTTCCAATAAAATGGAGACCTGCATTATCAGCATGTTATGTTGAAGAGCCTCTTTCTCTGGGACCTTCATTACATCACTACAATTGAGATCATAGACCATGAGGCTGGGTTTCATCCTTTCAAATCTTACTCTAAATATAACCTTGGGAAAATACTTACCTTTGTCCTGGATTACTTGTCTATATATTTATGTCCTCATTAAGATATTTCCTATTAGTGTTCATTAGTGTAAATGTGTTTATGTTAATAGTGTAAAAGGTGCTACATATATGCTTAGGAAATAATTCTCTATTTTTCACTCACTCTCTGCTATATACTTTTTCACAATATATTGTAAAGAATGGTTTATTTTTAAGCTCCTTGAGGGCATAAAGGAGCTTTAATTTGCAGGTACTTTAGTTCTTATTTGCCCCAGAGGCCATAATTCAATTCTTGTTTAGGAAATATGTTTTAAGGGATTACTGTGACCCAGACTCTTAAGGGATAACTGTGGCCCAGACACTTATGTTTCCTCTACTTTGTTGTGAGGATGGAAAAGAACATTGCTTGATGTACATGAGATGACAAATAAAGAGTGTATTCAACATATCATAAATATAACTCCAGGCAAAGCTGGCATGATCAATCAAACATAAAAGATGTACATCCAACTAGATCTGTTCTATGAAAGAACTGGTATGTCTCTGAAACCTAAGGGCTGTGTCTTGTTCAGTTCCCTGGAGAGTGTGTGTGTGATTAAATCTAAGGAAAATAAGTAATCAGGCTAGGGTGCAGAATTGCTAAAGGTTATGGAGATATTGCTGTATAGGAAAATAGAAGTGAGGATATGAAGGTCTGTGTTAGCCATGGAACTTGGATAGTAATTTGTACTACTGGAGAGAAAGGTTCTATTGAAGATAATAGAAAGGACAATATCTTTGAATATATTGTTTAATTTGAGAAAAGAATGGTTAAGAGCAACACTTAATGTTTTAAGTAAAGAGGTTACTTTTGCAGCCATGTTGCAGATACAAAAATAAAATGAGGCATATGAGATTGGCTTTTGGGGCAGAGAAAATTAATAAATATTTTGGGTGGGGAAAATATATTAGCTACATGGCTACAATAATACTATGAAATGGCTACAAGTCAAATAATAACACCATGATTAATCAGTATAAATTATGAAATTTGAAATGAATTTCAACATACAATTAGAAAATTAGAAATTACATGTTAGTTTAAAATATTTACCAAGTAATTTTTAATGTCTCTAAACTCCTGGTTTTGAAGTGTATTAAAATATGTATCAACTTTTGTCCGGCCTGTAGTGCAGTGGAATTTTCAGGACAGATCTACAGTGTTGTTTGTTTTTGTGTTCTTGTTTCTGACACTTTTAAGTGCCATTATTAAAATTTTCAACAAAAAAAACCTGAAAAAATCTCTATTTACACATACTGATATTAATTACCCTGATTGGAAAGACTGAAAAATTCATAATGTACAGTGAGTGTGTATATATTGTTGAGGAAGAAAAATAATATCCTTGACTAACATACTCTTAATTTGACATTCTTTTCTTACTCTTTTGCTACTGAAGATACAACATTCATAAAAACAAATAAAAACTATACTTCTTCAGAAACGAGAAGGCTCAATGGAATTTGCTTTTGAACACTGGAATTAATCTCTAGTCTAGCTTGACTTAGTTCCTGTTCCTGTTACCAAATAGTACCTATGTTAATGATGGAAACTCTGCTAGTAGCAGGATCCATGTTTATGACATTTAATGATTAATTTTGATCAGGAAACAAGAACAGCTTTGAAAAATTGTCTGTAAGTTTAGAATTTTTTCTAAATATGCATTTGTTAATTTGAAGCTGTGAGGTGTGTGATTTTGGTCCTGGAGCAGCTAGGATTTTCCTTAAAATATCCTTGCAATTGTTGGATGAGGAAGGAAGAAGACCTTGTAGGGAATTTTAGAACACAGTTGTTGGGCTTGGGTGCTGAAATTTGTGGAAATGGTTTTAAAATGGTAGATGTGGAAAGATCTACCTTGCCTAATTTGACATATGAAGGAGAAGGAAAGAAAAAGAAACCTAAAACTAAATAATGATTTTCTTTAACCAGAATCAAATTACAAACTAATATTACAGGAATTAATTTTGGAGGTATGCGATTTTAAATGTAATGTTGCAAACTCTTTACAAATATCAGCAATCATTAGGAGCATTTAGGCGGAAAAAGTTACTTGAAGTTAGCCATCTCTATAACATACCAGATTTATAAAATGGGATTGAAATTTTAAAGGGCTTTATTATCTATCTTCCATAATTTTTAGTCGATTACCTAATATAGATAACATAAAATGTCTCTAGGGGAGTAAGAAAATAAATTAATTTATACCATTGATAAACCTTTCTAAAAGAAAGGAAGAATGAGACTAGAATGTCTACTGAATTTTCAAAATGTATGGTAGGTCCACCTCAAGGACAAAGCTTAATGTTTTGAATATGGCTTGGACAATGAAGCGCCAGCTTCTTCTTTGAAGAAGATGTGCCTAATTTCATGTAAAAGAGCTAAACTAGAGGATCTGAGATGGAAAGAGTTACCCACAAGTAATTATAACCCTATTTCCAGAGATTCTGTTGCTCTTTCTCTCATCGTTGACTTAAAGTCATTAACTTTAATGGAAGTATCAATGCACATGGAAAGGGCGATTAGCTACGTACATGTCAAATTACCACACACCAGAGCAAAGGTGATCAAATAATGATTGTTAGAAAATGTTTATCATCTATCATTGCTCCTTAAAGAAACACACTCCAGAAACGAGAGGAAAAAATGTTTTAACTGATCCTTAATAGAAGGTTGTTCTTATTCTCTTAGGAAAAAGCCAGTAACTGATTTTTCTAATCATGCACAGTTTTCTTAATAACTCAGACTTGTGGTAAAGGTGTTTTCTGGTCCTTGTTGTTAGCTAAAACAGCCTGTGTGATTAGAAAAATCTATTACCTTAGAGCTTTATGCTGATGTGAAAATGCCTGACTCTCTGAACATACTTCGAGGAGTTTTAAAGTCAAAATGATATTATCATTATCCCATACTCTAATTTTAAATTTATGTAATAACTTAAAAAATGTACTCCCAATATTTGTGACATACATTTGTGATAACTGCTGAAATTAAGGAAAATAAAAATACACCATTCAGTTTTGTAGAACAATGGAGAGCTATGTTGAATGATAATTTATAGCAGAGGAACAGAAATGAGATATATTTGAGGAGATGGGAACCATTATTACTCTTTTACTGGTTTGTACTTATCTCTTTTATATCATGTATATGTCTTGCCACATGAGGACACACTGTCCTTTGCTTTACCATCTCTTTGGACATCCCTTGAGCCTATTTATCAACACTAATTAATACCCAACAATTCCAGTCTTCAGGCCTACTTTTCTCTTGAGTTTTAGATATGCATTTTATTGCCCAAGTGATGTCACTTGCATCTATATCAGTTGTATCTCAGACAGATAAAAAGCAAAAAATATTATATTAGGTTTACAGATGCACATTCTGAAAATTCCCTCAGTGGGTTGACTTCCAAGAGTCAGACAGAACAAATACTTCCTGTATTCTATTACAGTAAGAATTCAGGGCTTTATCATTCAAAAACATCTGGATTTTGGAAGATCTCATAGAAAATTCCACGAAGACCTTCTAAGTTTCAGTTTTCTCATTAATGTTATTAAAGGAAAAGGAATGGTTTTGACAGAATTTAGCTACAACATGATTATTATTCTAAAGAACTTACTTGTACTCATATGGTCAGATTTGCTGCTTTTGGGGGCTGGTCTCTCACACTGTGTGCCTGACCAGTTGGTGGAGCATCTAAAAAGATCCAAAGAAAAACAATAGTAACAATAACAAGTTAGTGAACAGCATCACTAAAAATTTTTAAATATAGACACTTCCTTGTGATAGATTTGATCATTATAGATTCATGAATATTAGGGAAACATTGCATATAACTCCCTACATATTGTCAGTATGCTGAGGGTAACTTCTATTGGACACTATATAGTAATTTTCCATTGTTCTGTGTTCAACTTAAAATGGTATATTTCATAGCAATATTGAAATCATGATTTTGAAATGACAATCTGAGAATTATTGAAGATTACAAGTAGCCACTTATAAAACTGAGATGGCTTGTTAAGCAAATCCTTCTTTATTAAATTTCAGTAATTTGTTTTTCTGGTTGCTCAAAGTCCAAAGTGGAACTAACTACTAAATAGTGAAGGGGTCAACTGTCTCCATGCAAACTGGAGAATTTTTATACTAATGAAATAGGAAAATACAATGTCTTCCTTATTTAATCACACTGCTTTTAGCATGAAGTGAAGAGAATATGCCCAAGTATCATGGAGGGAAGTTGTTTTCTGCATATAGATATTGACATTATTATGAAAAGCCTCATATATCTCTGATCATAAATCTGAGCATAAAGTTTGACAACATAATTAGATGGTTGTGTTAAAATAAATGGTGGAAGTGTTTTTGCTTTGCTTATGCAATGCTTACTGGCTAATACAGATGTGAATCTGTCAGTGAAAATCCACAGAAAAACAATTCAATTTGCCTCAGTTCTTATTGAAAAGGACTGTCAAATGCTACCATATAGGAAGAGATGCACATAATAAAATAACAGCTTCTAGAACAATTCCTAGTGGGTCTCTCTAGGCATTATGGGATAAACTAAATAACTGGAATGTCAAGGTTTTTGTAGATACTGTCATAACCACTCAGACAGTGGAAGCTGCTTTCTAAACTAAGCTTCACTGATGCTACAGGTATTATTTGTAATTTTCTAAAGTCAATGTTGGCTGTCCTAAAGCATGGACAAATTCCATAAATCTGTCATACTGACAAACTCAAACCATGAAGACTAAAGTTGTTTCAAGGAAGCATAGATTAACTTCAACATAATTGACAATAAAGTTCCTATGTAAGACTATCGTTATCTGATTAATCATGATAAATTATAAAAGCTATGAGTATGGAGCATGATTTAAATGAAAATTAATAGTATTATTTGTATTGTGATTCAGGCAATCATTCATGCAGCTCAACAGTTTGCTTAGTTCCATCATAAAAATGCTTTAAGTATTAGAAAATTTTCTATACATCATATTTATGATAAACCATCCTGAAAACAAATTATTAAATAAGATAACTTTTAACTTAAGTTCTATCATTGTCTGTATAACATGAATGTACATGTTTACACAAAATAGGATAAAGTGAATAATGAGCATCTAAAATCTAGTATCAAATATCTATTTGATATTTTAAAGTATTGTCTTTTACCCCATAAATGACCAAACTGTTCACAAACACTGATTTTTATGCAGTCCATACATAATTCAAGATAATATGTTGGGAACAACTTGTAAGTATTTTTCTCATTATTTGAATTATTCAGTTTTTGGATTTATATATTTGTATATTTCCCAAAACTTTCTAATAGACCATCAAAAATGCTTCATATACATCAGTAAATAATCATACTAATTTCTCATTAACTTCATTCTAAAGTCAATGTATACAAACTACATGCATGAAATAACATTGGGTTATTTTAAAACCAAAATTTGCTTTCTACATTACTTCTTTCAAAAAACAGGTTAATTTGGGGGTTCATCTTAATAAATGACCAGATATATATTTTCTTTTGCTCCAAGCCATAAAATTGGTTGAGATTCATATTATACTGAACCATTTTGAAGTCAGAGTGGAGGTACTAAGAAGCTAATATTTAAGTACTTAATTTGCTAATACAAGCTTGCTCTTAAAGCTCTAGACAAGCATAAAGAAAATTAAAAAAAATATGAGGGTAATGCAGTTCTTATTCCAAATTCTGGAATTGTTTAATTTGGATAGGTAGTATATGTTAACAGAATGTTCTGGTTTCCTAATATTGTGATTGCTAAGTTATGAGATAGTTGTCATAAACCTCTTCTTTTAAAATTGTGGATGTTTGCTGGGCACTGGTAACTCATGTCTATAATCCTAGCTATTCAGGAAGCTGAGATCTGAGGATTACAATTAAAAGTCAGCCAGGGCAGGAAATTCTTTCTGTGAGACTCTTATGTTCAATAAAACTACTCAGAAAAATAAAGCCAGAAGTTGTGATTACGCTCAATTGGTAGAGCTCTCTCCTTGAGCAAAAGAAGCTAAAAGATAGTTACCAATTACCAGTACTGGCAAAGAAAGAAAGAAAGAAAGAAAGAAAGAAAGAAAGAAAGAAAGAAAGAAAGAAAGAAAGAAAGAAAAGGCTTCAGTAAATGGTGCTGGCAAAATTGGTTAACTACTTGTAGAAAACTAAAGCTAGATCCTTATATATCACCCTGTACCAGAATCAACTCTAAATGGATCAAAGACCTCAGAGTCAAAGCAGACACTCTGAAAACATTACAGGATGGAATAGGAGAAACCCTAGGTCTCCTTGGCTCAGGCCGAAATTTTCTGAATACAGACCTGGGATTGCATGAAGTTGCAGAGTTTCTGCGTGGCAAAGGACATAGCTAGCAAGATCAATAGAAAGCCCACGGATTGGGAGAAGATCTTCACTATCCATACAACAGACAAGGGTCTCATATCTAAAATATACTTGGAACTCAAAAAATTAAATCCCCCAACAAGAAATTCTCAAAGAAACAATTGCCCAATAAATAAGTGGGTGAAAGACTTAAAGAGAAACTTCTCTGAAGAAGAAAGAAGGATGGCCAATAGACACATGAAGAAATGCTCAACATCCCTAGCCATAAAAGAAATGCAAATCAAAACAACACTGAGATACCACCTCACTCCAGTTAGAACGGCAAAAATCAAGAACTCTAACAACAACAGATGCTGGAGGGGATGTGGACAGAAGGGAACCTTACTTCATTGTGGGTGGGAGTGTAAACTTGTTCAACCACTTTGGAAAGCAGTATGGTGGTTCCTCAAAAGGCTTCACATAGAGCTCCCCTATGACCCAGCAATCCCACTGTTGGGCATTTACCCAAATGTTTACAAACAAGACCACACTAAAGCTACCAGCACAACTATGTTCATTGCAGCATTATTTACCATAGCTAAGATATGGAACCAACCCAGATGCCCCTCAGTAGATGAATGGATCAAGGAAATGTGGTATATATACACAATGGAATTCTATGCTTCCATCAGAAAGCATGACATTGCCCCATTTGTTAGGAAATGGAAAGACTTGGAAAAAATTGTATTAAGTGAGGTAAGCCAAGCCCAAAGAAACATAGGTCCCATCCTTTCCCTTATTTTCAATATCTAGTATATGTATGAGTCAAGCAGAAAAGGTCAGATAATGTGATGTTAGGAAAATGAACCTTTAGATATGTATTTTAATGTTTATTTTTCTGTCATGCATTTGTTTCTAACGCATTTACAAGATTATTTCTTTGTTGCTCTGTATGTCCCTCCCCCACAGTATAACCCCTGCTTTCACTATATTTGATGTCGGTATATTTTGTGGAGGAGATGCGGAAAAACAAGTCGTTTAAGGATACAGGTGGACCTGTTGCAACAATGAGAAGTACAAGTTGTCATGTTGAAAACAAACTTTACAACTTTGGTGGGGAGGGGAGGATTGGGGGGCGGGGGGGGGAGGCTGCGAAGGGATGTGAAGGGTAAACAAAGGAGGATGCTGCAATGCTTGATAAGAAATGTACTCATTATCTTGCCCATGTAATTGTAACCCCTCTGTACAGTATTTACACAAAAAAATTAAAATTAAAAAAAGAAAAGGAAGAAAGAAAGAGAGAAAATGATAAAATAAAGAAATAAAGAAAGAAGGAAAGAAAGAAAGAAAAGAAAGAAAGATAAAGAGAGAAAGCAAGAAGGAAAGAAAGAAGAAAGAAAGAAGAAAAAGAAACAAGGTTGTGGGAGCATATTTAAAGTCAGAGTCATCAGGGAAATTTTTTCTTATTATGTACTAGAAATAACTCTCAAGGACTACACTGGAAGAAATAATTAATTTTATGTCATGTATCTTAATCATTGCATGATCACCTTGCAATTCTTCCTCTACTCCTTAAAAGATAATGTTTTATGACCAAAGATAAAATGTGTTTCACTGTCCTGCATTTGTTCCAGTCTTAAATATAATCTCTTTTGAGATATTAAATCAAATTGAAATCATTATTCTTGTTCCCTACCTTACAAAATTACAACTTAAGGCAGTTCTTGGTCTAGAAGATTTTCTTCCAATGGTTGATTTAAGACCAAGTATTCTTACCATCTTTACAGAAATTCATAAATCTTATCTAAGTAGACTACAATGATCAAAACCATTAATGGAATAGCATTTGAAAAATGCAATGTGTGCTGCTCATTAAAATTTCCTGTCCAATTCCTTGCATATTCATGCTGACTATAATCTCTCAACCCCCTCTCTCTGTCTCTGTCTATGTCTCTGTCTCTGTCTCTCTCTCATTATCACTTAAACAAAATTTGTAATCCGTGTTCTGTTCATCTCTAAATCTGCTTTGTTGCTATGCACTACTCTCTGCTATTCATCCAGGAGCAATTTTCTGCAAGTTAGCTTTGCATAGCCTTCCAAAATAATCTTTATTTTTTTCCCTCTCAACGTTACAAAGGCCTGCATGACGCAGACTATCAAATTTATAATTTCAGTGCTATTTTGTAGCTTAAAATAGTAGAAAAATTGACCTGATTATCACTATACCAGTCTTGTGTTCTTGAATTAGACATAGACAAAGACATTAGATTGGTGCAGTTGTGTTTAATCATACAATCATTTATTCTTCTTTACATCCTCATTATCATTTTGTTCAGTGAGTAGCTACTTG